GTATATACCTGTTTATGTCTACTGTTAGTTACAGGGACCTTGATAACATAAATCATGTATATATGTGTTTATGTCTACTGTTAGTTACAGGGACCTTGATAACATGAATCATGTATATATGTGTTTATGTCTACTGTTAGTTACAGGGACCTTGATAACATAAATCATGTATATATGTGTTTATGTCTACTGTTAGCTACAGGGACCTTGATAACATAAATCATGTATATATGTGTTTATGTCTACTGTTAGCTACAGGGACCTTGATAACATAAATCATGAATCCATAAGCATTTTGTTGCATAAATAATTTTTAAAAAACTGTTGGAAAAAGCTAGTATAGAATTTCAAACGAAATGTTTATAATTTCTTAGAAAAAAATTACAGAAGGTGAAAAATCAAATCTAATTTTATGCTCTATTACACTCGAAGAAGAAGAAGAAAAAAATGTTACTGGGGTGTAATTCCAACGAACACAACCCTTGTTGTTGACAAGGTGAGAATTCACATCCTTTAAAATGTGTAAATTTAGAACACATAATAGTTCACACTTTTGGTGTGTATGTAATGGTGTGAATTTATACAAATAATGGAAAGTCTGTAATGATTACACATATCTGTTAAAGATTTCTTTTCTTTCACACCAAAGATAAGATTGAAAAGAGAATCTGTGACGTAGAGGCCTAATGCATTCTCTGATTGGCCGTACCCTCTGCTGTGGACTTGTGACGTAGAGGCCTAATGCATTCTCTGATTGGCCGTAACCTCTGCTGTGGACTGCAGTTCATCAGCACAGCTGAATATTTAATAATGATTGCGTCACAAGCTCAACACTATTTGAACACCTAAATTGTTTTAGGCGACTTTATTAGTGATTGAAAAGGACTTAAAAACCTCAGTAACGGAAATCCATGCAAGAGGAATGTGAAGATAAGATTAAATGTATGAATAGGAAATACCTGACCTCAATTTCAGCTAGAGCTCCGGGGTCAATTTTCGTCCGTACAATTTGCAGAGATTCTTCGTCTCTATTTTCTTCTTTGTCTACGTTTTTGACTTTATTTTTTTCGGTTTTAGAAGATGGAACCTTTAGGGGCCCACTGTCATGTCTCGAGTGTTTACTGTCGCCGTTAGAGGTCTCTACCAGCTCTTGTTTTTTCAGAGTTCGTTCTTGGAACCCCGAAGACTCCCTCTTTAAAGCATCAACTGTATTGATGTCTTCCGTCGTCGACGAACGAAGGCTAAACTTTTCATTTTTTTCATGTGTTTCTGTTAGTAAGCGTTCCGCAGATTTGTGTCTTCTCTGAGATCCGAGACGACCTCGAATCTGAGAATCCACGAAATTACCAAAAAGTCTCAGTGGACTTCTTCTGGTTTTCACTGACGTCATTAAAGATTCGATTCTACGGTTTCTCGAAGCTTTTCCTGACTGAAGCGACACCGGTATATCTGTCGTGTATGATCTGCTCAAGGATGGACCTAAGGAGAGAAAAACTATATATATATATATATAG